TTCCCTTGTGCTTTCCCTATTAAAATTAAGAGGCATATTCAATTATTGTCCCTCATTCTAAACAGAGTTACAAGAGTCTGAAGTGGAATGTTGAATCAAATGCCATTGCATATTTAACCTGTTGCTCTCTTTTCCACTCACTGCTTGTGGATTTTGGAGCCCATCAACCTTTGCGGTGTTCCTTTAATTCTCCAGTGAATGACAATGTTTTAAATAAATTAAACCAAAATGTTCATATGATAGGTGGCTTTGGCAAACTTGCAGTCATGAGTTTTACTATTAGTAAGGAGTGGAGACATCACAGCTGCTGCAAGATAATTTATGTTAGTACTGCTCATGTTGGTGAAGATGATCAGGAAAGAGTAACACCTGGGATAATGTGGGCATGGCATACTATTATCTTAATCTTGGTGCCACATTTTTTACTTTGTTCACTGTGCTGTGCTAAGTGCCACAGAGAAAGGGCCATCGAGAGCCTTTAAACTCCCTGTTCAATTTAACACTAAGCCACAGCACTTATTGAATTTAAGATTCTCTTGGGGGGGTGCTCTAAAACTCCACCATCTGGTAAGAGTCCTCCAAGGAGCAACACACCAGACAGCAGCAAGGGATATCTATGCCCTTATATCGTAATCATCTCTCCAGGTGTGTGGGATGGGAAGTGTGACACAGAAGGTAATCAATATTTGTCTCTGCCTGCTGGGAACTGGCCACACAAGGGGTCTCCTCAGCCAGGGACGTGTGAGCAGCTGCTTATCTGCATCTCTTGGGGCAGCGTAAAGGGAGCAGAATAAGTCAAAGACAGTAGACCAGAAACTATAGGTCCCAGTCCTGCAAAAGTATAGATATATCTTCATTGTGAAATCTGTGAGACTACACAGGTGAATTACTTTGGTGATGGGAACAAAATACAAAATTGTAGTGTAAAAATGGATTAGTTTGGCTCTCTTCACCCTTAAAAATAGGATTCTTTCAATGGGGCAGCTAACACAACTGTTTAAACTTGCTAAGTAAGAGTTTATTTAGAGATGCTCTGAATACCTCATGTAACAAAGCATTTTTCTGGCTTCGAAATAAATGAACGATGCATGATGAAATGGGCAAGGCTGAACTTCTTGTGAGCAAGCTCAGACAAGTTTGGAAAGAAGCAGCAGCAAGCATATATGACCGAAAGGAGTAGTACCTTAAGTCCCTTGAAAAAATTATGAAGGATTCCTGTGTAGGTAGGAAACAAATATATTTCATGTTTGTTCCCTGAAAGCTCCTGTATAGTTTGGTCAAAGGATGGTTGTAATTTTTGCAGTATTTTTGGACAGAGGGGATTATGTTACCAAAATGAGTGTTGATTAGAGCTGATGTAAGCCAAGTATATTATAGGTACTTAATCATTCTTTCATGGTGTAGATTTTAACCACTAAAGTGATTAACAATATATATTTGTGTACATTTTCACTATACTTCCTAAGTGATTGATAATAAATGGGAATTGTAAAGCTTTGCTCTAGTAAATTATAGATTGTTTATTTTAAAAGTATAAACTTTTGAGGATGAGGCTATAACCAGGGGTGGGTCCAGAGGGGGTGCAGTTGCACCCTCCCCCACTTGATTCCTGCTCAACCCGAAGTTTAAAAACAACTCCCTGGCAGTGGCAGCAACATTTCTATTCAGGCAGCAGTGAGGGAGTTGCTTTAGTTCCTGGATCATTTTAATTTCTAATACATCTGATTCTTTCTAAATTCTCCATGCCACAAGTGGTAAAGGCCCTCTCTCCATTTTAATGGTTTTTAATGATCCCACTAATCAAGCTGTCCTTTGTTTCGCTATTTTGGTGCCTGTTAGCTGCTCCTTGTAATGTAACTACTATTCCACAGCCCTGCAGACTGCTTTTAACACAAACTAGAAACATTAACTCAAGTGTGGAAATAACTTTCAGGAAAGCATTGGATGTGCTGTTAAGATGCTCAAAAAGGCTAGATTTTGTTTTATGCATCGGAAAGATATGTGCCTTTCATTCTAATGCATGGCAAGACTAATGAAACATCTTTTGATTATTTTGCCTAGTGTGTTGTCGTCTTATACATAATATATGAGATAGCAAAGGAATGCACTTTCCAGTAAAGTTATATTTATTTTTGTTTTAATCTTAAACTGAACAATGCACTCCAAGGCCCCTTGCCTATTAAAAATAAATTAGAAACTTTACTAACTGGAGAAAAATGTGTGTTGTGGAATACAGCACAGTATCTGTACCCCCCTTTTCAAAATCCTACAATTGCCCATGGATGTAACATCTGCTTTTGTACTTATTTTTCTTGATAATTACCCATTTTGAATGGCAAAAGAAGAACTGCCCAAGAACAGACCAAGTCAGTTTTAGTATCAAGTATACTTCTAGGCAATTTCTTAGAACGCTAAAGTTTATCTGTTCTAATGTACTTGCATGCAGTTCTGTTTTGTATTGCAGTGTTATAGTGCATGGAGTGCACTTGATACTATGATTATACAGATCCACTTTAGAGCTGGATAAAGGAGTTAAAAAAACCCTTTAACATCTTTTAAAACAAAAAAAATATATAAAAAAATCCACCCCCCACATATTTTCTTACTTTGGTAATAAACAGATTTTCCACATGCAAATTAAGTGAAAGTTTAATATGATCTAGTTACAGAGAGGTGCATTCTTGATCCCAAATTGAATCCCATAACTTGATGAAGAAGCACAATGCTATGAATTGCCTCAAAGACTCCTTGTTTAAATAAAACTGGTGAACCCGTATATGAAACACCAAAAGGGAGTCAAGACTGCCCATAAGAGAGGTTGGAAAGATGAGAACAAGAATTATTAGCGGCACAGGACAAAAAACAGGCTAGGGTCTGTCCCCATCTGTAAAGGTAATAGCCATGACATAATGGTTTCCTGTACAGAACTTGTCATTTGTATTTTCTAAACTGCATCTTTTTCCTAAACTTTTTGACCACGTTCCAGACAAGCGCAGATGTGTGCTATGTGGTGCCACAGACCCATCTGCAGCACCACACACTGCACATGCAGGCATGCCCTGCACTGCTGCCTTGCAACACAGGGTTTTTTCACCCTGGGATCTCCCAGGGTCAAAAAAACCCATGGCAAAAAAACAAGCAGGGCAGCGCATATGGTGGCAGCACATGCTGCCCAAAACCTGAGCCTGGCTGGCCAGAGCCACATTCTAGCTGCCAGCCAGGCTCCCAAATGCAGGAGCTCTGCAGCTGCAGCTCCCCAAGGCCCCCAGGACTCCAGGTAAGGCTGCTTGGGGCCAGCACAGTTGCTGACCACAGCCTCCTGTACCCCACCCACTGTTACTTGTCCCCGGGGAAACAAACAGCCATGCTCATCTGAACACAGCCATCAATGGCAAGCCAGCTTTAAAAAGTGGATTATACGTAGAGTATTAAAGCATCTCAGAAGCACTCTGGATCCAAACGTTGTGCCCTGCAGAAGCTGGATGTACTACTACTGGGTCAGTTTTCTGAGTACTCAGCAGTGATCAGGGGAAAATGTGATATGTAGGCAAGTATATGAATTACAGTGCATAAGGGACAGCATAGAAACATTTATCCAGAGGAAAGCATCAAGTCGTGAAAAAAGGAGTAGGAGACAAAAATAGTATCTTAGTGTTTGAAAAGCAAGGGACCAATACAGCAGTGCCCCTTGCTGCTTTCCTCTTTAGCAAGTGCTGTTTGTTTGGTATTTAAAGCACTTTGTGAGAGGCAAGGATTTCCAAGGGAGAGATCTTTTATTGGACCAACTCTTGTCATTGGGCTCAAGTTAGACAACTTTTTGCATGCAATACCTTG